TCATTGCACTCCACAGATCTCAATCCTTTGTGACTTCTAGATATCCGGCGAGTCAGATTCCTTTCAGATATGCACTACTCAACATGTAATTTGACTGCGCCGAAGGGTGCCTGCAGAGCACACCAAAAAACTTCAGTATTTCGATTCGTCAAAATAAAACAGTTATAAAGAAGAACCAACGAGTATCACCTGTCAGAGGGCCGTCCTGGAGCTCCATTAGCTAACAGTTTATCGACTACATCCAAGGTATACACCATGCCTTTCAGAAATACACTGTTTCGACTTCGAAAAACCTCCAGCACATTCGATTCTTAAGTGGTACATAAATTACGTGGCGTAAGCGTTCAATGCACGAGCACTGTACACGGATCACACACACAGTGCCGGCGATGTATTCAGCGGCCGCATCGTCCCAAGCTAGCCCAGAATTCTTTTTCAGTGCACTTGAGGCCCGGTGTGTTGTGTGTGAAGACATGGCATAAAAGAAGCACTTTCTTAGCCCCTGACAATCGACACCGCAGCACTTCCGCGCTTTAGCATCCCGAGCATGGAATAGAGCACTGATTCGCACCTTGGCCCCGTGGTATCCATCCAGTGATATAGAGGGAGTAGCACGAGTTCACGAGAACGACAAGGAAAGTGCACTAAACCGTGAGGATGGATTCGGCCTTAGTGTCACATATTTAATGATACCGACTAGAATCCCGGATATTGGCTGGGCCAGCAAACAGCATAGATGACTCGATAAGGTCTTCGGATTTTTCGCTCTCGGGAACTTTCATTACTTATTTACTTATCAGGTCCGTAATGTTGATAGACAACGTTGGAGTTTGGGTTTTCATGCCGATCTTCGTAAAGCATACGAGTGGATACGAGGAGTCCAGGTGCAGGGTATCTGCCAATCAAGCTTTATCATTGTGATCTTGTGGCAGTTGGACACAACGAGAGTCTCGAGCTTTGAGATGAGGGTCTTCACTAGGATTGGCAGCGGAAGTAGTGCTTGGGATCGTTGTTGGATAAGGTTGTGGGAGAAGTACTCCGGAGGGCGTGTAAGGGGGGCGAATCAAGTGCGGCCCTTATACGTTTACTGAAGCCATTCCCGCAGAAAAGGGAAGTTTACTACACTAAAAAAGCGACCAAGTAAAAGTCCAGATTCCGCGATCTCTCGTTTTCCAGACGTAGACATCAATGCATTGGCAGTCTAGAGGGAGCCAACACAAACGCTCCACTTATTTGAAAATCTTGGCTGGCTTCCGAGATACACGTTCTAGGTCAAGGCAAGAGGCAAGGCAGTGTTGAGCAAGGCAGCTGAAGAAGGCATCGCAGCGAATCAGAGCCTGTGTACGTTGCATGGCCTGAATGAATCAGCTGTTCGTACCGTTTAGGGACCGGAGTGGAAGTTCGTAACCATGTGTCTCGGCCGCAGAGAACTTTGATAAGCACACTGCACCAGTGACTCTGGCCCTAGACCATGTCAAGGTCACGATGTGTGCTTGATGGACTTCACGCTACTTCACGAGACACACTGGAGCGATCGTCAAAGGATCATCCAACCCCGTTTATATCTAAATGTGGGAATGACGGGAGATATTAATATTCACTTCGACTTCTCCTCCTGAGCACGAAATATGAATTATTTGAGAAACAACCCCAGGCCAAGACGCTCCATCTTCGATACTTCCCTAGATACGGGGACACGTACACGCTTGTGTCAGATGGTCGTAGGTGTCGGACACGGGCACGAACCTCTGCAGCATCGTAAAATCAAGGGTCGCTTCGACATGCTTGTACTTAGCCAGGATCTAGGAGAATGGGAACGAGCTTTACCTCCCAGGATACATGAGGATTACATGTTCTCAACGTCGCGAAGTTGTATTTCTCCTACGGGAAGTAGCGTGCATCACGCTAGAGAATCATGATAGAAGAAAAATACCAGGAACTGCTGTTATTTATCTTTCTACGAGCAATCTCATTTCTTGTATGCTTGTGTCCAAAAGAGGTATTCGAAGACGCAGAGTGTCTAAGCATCTAGGTCCAGACCTTAAGCTTCTTGATTTTTTTCGCTTCAATGAGATAACTAGGAAAACAACGCGATTGAGCATTGCCTAGTTAGAAAGGGGTAGAGAATCCAGTTGAGATGACGCGGTTCTAGTCGAGAGCATCACGGAACCGCCGATTTCAGGCTGTTCAGCTTGCTTCTGCTTTTCCGTTTAAGTACGCAGCCGCGAATAGAAGACAACGTAACCATCTTGTCTTACTGTACATTATCCATTTCCTAGTAAGTGCACATCAGATTGTATTGTGCTAGTTCGCACAGCAAAGATCTTTACACTTCCTTGAATTGAGAAACTTGACGCTTACCACCGAGAACGCCGTACGAAGACAATTCATTCAGCTGTCAATCTGTTCATCATATCGTGGGCAGTTCGCCTCCAGAGTAGCAGCATCTTTGATTCGTACAAGTAGGTCTGCGCTCTTCTAGTGATGCCATGTTCATGTGCGGCGACAGGCTGAGCGTCGTTCTAGCTACAGATGCTGCAACTGCCAGAACCGATTTCTTGATTGGTCCCTTGAAGCGGGTTGTTGATCTCAAGCACACCTAGAGCGGAAATCTCGACTCATTTTGGCATTGCCAGCACAGAGTAGATCAAGCAAGTAACTCAGCAGTATAGTACGCTGTACGCGGTCTCCAGTGATAGTGATAGCAGAGCTAGTCGAGCTCCTCGGTAGACAATGCTTTTGATCAGCATCCGTTGGCTATGACCCGTTTCCCATGGCTACTATGCTAGTCGTCCAACAATTCGATTTGTGGGAACGGTGTACCTGATCGAACTGATTCCGCGGCAATTGACTTTTCTGTACCCACGTTGGAAATAGAGGTCGCCTCCACGGGCGTATAGCGCGGGAACAGAAAAGCTTTAAGTAGCTAGTTACTCGACACGGCGTGCCTTTTCAAACGCCAAGCAGAAACAAGTCGGCGATCATTTGATTCTCTTTAAGGCCTTTCTGTGCGAGGTCGTCAATTTCAAAAAGAAGTATAGAAGTGCAGTCATGTACGTACAAATGTACATTGTGTAGACGGACTCTCGGCCGAGGAGCGCCTCATAGATGATTAAATGACAACCTGCATGACAATCCGCAGAATTGAGTTGTCTCAGTTTGGTGAGACGCTCATCCGTCAGGATCTGTTTTCAGCGGTGGGGATCAAAGGACCTGCGCACGGATCGAAGACCGCCATCAAGATCAAGATCATCTTTTAAATTTGATTATTCTTTTACCCGAGTTTTGAGTAATCCCCAGAAATTTTGGCAATTTTATCTGAATTTAGAATCAATTATTTTCGAAAGTGTTGCGAATCTCGAGTTTGAAGAACCCACCCCCTGAAAACAGTGACCAACAGTATTAATAGACGTCGCAATGAAGTGTACAGAATGAGAAATAAAGTGTCAAAGAGTTCTGAGCGGAAGAAGCAGCGACATCAGTCGCAGACTTTCCGATGAAAAACGAAAGGAATATTCAGAATTCCGATAACACAGGAGGAAGCACACAGTGACCGTCGGTACCGGACCATTTACTTGAGTCCCTTCGCGCGCTCATGCGCACAATCAGTGGCGGATTGCGGCGAGCTACTTCGCCCCGTCGCACAATAGAAGGGGCCGCTCCACATTTTCATAACGCCGCGATCACATTTACGATGTTAATGATGCGAGCAACCCTTCGGAAGTTGTAGATTAACCGCCACGCGTTCAGATGCTGAATACCTATTTTAATGTGAAGTCGTCCAACATCCGCCCTTGTCGCGCTGATATATTTGTGGTGAACTGTACTTTTTGCGGAAGAATTCCAGTGGCGTTTATTCGCATCATATCGTACCTATAGTACCTTCGCACTGTGGCACATATGTATCAGAATAACATGCAACCTGGATACCTTTCGCTCTTGAGAAATTGTGTATGCATGGGGTATATGCAGCATGCAAAGGAGAGAAGAACGGAAGGAACATGATTATGAGCACAGCTACGGAGGCGCCGGCAGATTTGATTCCGTGCTCTACTTTATCCCTTGCAATGACGATACCAGTTTTTGAATTCGTGGCGTGCGCACAAGAGCAAGCCCCAGTGCAGATCCTGTGTACGGAATGTTCAATGCTAGCTTGAACGCGACCTGATCTCCTCTCGCCGACAAGCAATCATAAACCACAATTAGTCCAATCACGCGTTACCATGTTTATTTTCAAGGTAGCCTGGTAAAATGGAGAAGGTAGAGAGATGGTCAAGATGTAGAACAATATCGCCACAATTCTTCAGACTCACTTCTTATTCTCCCTTGATGAACAGGCCGGCGCAGTGCGAAACTTGAGTTCGCAAACAGTTTGAGTAGCCATCCTCCGCGCGCATGGTGCCCACGCGGCATATCAAACCAGCAATGCTATACAGGATGTGTTATTGAACTGTCGAAAATCATGAATTGCTTGATTCCGTAAGTCCCGAGCACAGCCAGAGTGATGACAAATAAATGATTTTGCGCAGTCGCTTCCCTGTTTTGTTCATAGCTGTCAAGAGAGAGAAACCATCTGTATGATTTTGTCAGCATTGCAACGGCGTTTTCGGGTCAAGAAATTGTATCTCATTTGCGTTGTGCAACCAGCGTGGTTGTTAGCATAGCATAATCTAAATAACCCCAAGGAGGTAAAGTGATTAGCATTTCAAAAAATCCGCACACCGGATCCTAGGCAGTTCGTACGTCTTCTCGGCAAATATAGCAGCACGCGACGAAAAAGCAGTGTGCACACGCCGTGCGAATGATTGTTTGACACTTGCAGAACCAATCACGATGTGTGTCTGCCTATACTTGACACGAGGTCGTGTGTCCAGAAGTTTCGATACGAAGAAAATGCTTCATTGAATCGTCGAAAGGACACGCGTACGGGAATGACGGGAGCATGGTGCCATGGTGGCTGGGAAGGACAAAATTCCGAGGATTTATGGGCTGAGGGCTGATTACGAGTTTTCGAAGACGATGTCCAAGATGTTTGGCACGGAAGACAACAATGCCGTACGCCTATACGGGCGCTGTGCGGAGTAGCGTGCCCATGGGAGGTTAGGGGACACTTCGAGTATCAGGACATCGAGTGTCTCCGCTTTGCTGCCAGCACATCGCACCGCACAATACAAGTCTGGCAAAATCAGGCGATGAAGGGGGCGAGAAAGGACAGCTGGCGCCGATCGAGCTGATCGGCTCTAAATTCGCCTCTCATCATCCCGTGTCTCATGTCAGTTCGAGTCGTACTTAGCGTCTCGCTGTACTTTAAGCGAATCGAAGAAGATGAAGAAAGGATTCCAAATTCGTTGCATACCCGGATCTGTATCCTTGGCCTCTTTGAAATGGATGAAGCCGATCTACGAATATAGTGCCATCACCAAAACGTGCAGAGTCTGACAAGGCAATATATTTACATGTAGACCTTATAAGCGAATATAAGGATCCACAATATGTAAAAAATATATGTCTTAGCAGTAAATTCCAATACATTTTCGTGTTCGATTTGGTGATGGCGTTGGCCAAAACCAACAAAAGAATTGGGTCCGCCCTGTTTCTATTATGCAAGACGAATAGGGGCTACATTGTACTGTATATAAGCTTTTTAAAATCTTCTCTGCGCGATCGGACGCAACATGCATCACCATGCAGTTCGAAGCTTGTGAGCAGTATCTCTGTCACAACAATAATTTCTGTAAATTTGTATTGTTAGATGCTTGTACAACTAGATGCTCAGGCATTTATGCATTTACATACCAGATTCAATATATAACCCAAATACAATCATGCTGCAGATACAGTTGAAAATGTCTTATTGCATAATGTCAGGAGAGGGCTAAACCCAATGCATTATACAATTTATACATTATAACAATACATTTTGGCTGAGGACCTGAGTTTTGGTCTGGCCAAAAGTCTATGCATTATGCCATTTATGCATTACAATGTGATGCAATGAGACATTTTCAACTGTAATCATGAATGTGGCTTGATAGGGGAGATAGAAATACAATATGTGCTGTGCCTGTCCTTGTGAGTAGAATAGTCCAGGGTAGGCATATAAATTTGCGTCATAAGCTGCGATCAACGTGTATATTTGTACTTTATTTTTGAGAGGCGATTAAATGCATTTCTCAATCAGACCCGAGAGCGTCTGATCATGTCAAAGCATAATAATCGAGGAACCAACTCAAACGGGCGGCCTCCGATATCTTGCGTCCCTGGATTACAACGGATTTTTCTTTTTCTTCTGCGCACTTTTGGTAAGGACGCAAGAATCGGTGCGAGAAATTTATGTATGCACAAGCGACATCGAAAGTTCTCTTGAGCGGCTGTTGTGCGTCTCCTAACAACCGAGCCGTGCTGCCAGAGACTCAAGGTGAAACTGAGCATGGTCCTCGAACGCGTGTCAACACCCTGCTCAAGAGAAAAAAGCTCACCTCCTATGCTGGTGACCCTGGCAATCAGACTCCACTCCTCTCTCTCGAGCCTCGCCGCCCGCCGGAACGAGGCTCGAGGAAACGCCGGTCCAAGATCCCGACGCAGCCTCACCTCATGATTGCGCATCAAATTTGGTGCAAAGCCGTGTGCTACTTGTGCACTATGAATGACCAGTGCATATGCATACGGGAATTCGCGACAAGTTGGTCGTTTACCCCGGATCCGCGTTGTGATCCTTTGACTTCCTAATCTCGATTACGAAAAAATTCATAAATTACATGCCAAGCACCCAAAATCAAGCGATGCCTTTCGGGACTCTAAATGATGCAAATCCTCTTCCGTCTTGTTCTTTTCCGACTCGTTTTCTGATGCTTTATTTATCCACTTGGGCCACTCAAAAGCGAACTGATTTATTGAGCGGGAAGTACGTACAAAGTGAGATCTCTCGAAGGGCAAGGCGCGTTCCCGGGGCCAGCAAGACGTTCAAAATCTTTCTCTCGATTTTTCTGAATCACTTCGTTTGACGCGTCGTTGCAATGACTCGGAAGTTTTCTTGCCTTACCCCAGAGGGTAGGGTGCATGAGAGCATATTGCTAACCTTCATTACGACGATCACTTGTCGCCTCGCTTTGCGTTGCATAGAAATCACGCGCCCGAGCTCCTATTGCTGCATAATTTTTGAGTTCATGCTGCTCCTTTGAGTGCATCAAGTGAAAAATGCATAGTCGCAGGATGGAGGTAAAGTCTCGGTATGACGTCCTCTGCAAAGTCAAATCTCGACTCTCGCGTGTCTGCAAATCCCCAGCGTGTCACTCGGAGTCACAGTCACGCAAGGTACGACAGGCACAGAGTGACTCAAAGTCAAAAAACAACAACTCCAAGCAGCCTCTCGTGCGTAGATCAATGCTAAATCCGAGCGCACAAATTCCCTTATCCAAATATGAATCTTCTTCCGACAACAACATATCGCTCAGGTGATGCAGCCGTCTGGAGCAAGTGGCTCCTTCGAGAAGGAGAAGTTGTAAGCAAGCCGGAATATCGTGTTTATGATGGATTCCATATACCAGATGAAGATAGATTCAGAGATGGATGGGATAAGTAACTACGCCTGCCGGTGGAGTTCATATGCTTGGAAGACTTATAAAGTAGTGGATGCGTGTTTGCTCCAAACGTTATGCCGCATGCATAGCCGGCTTCTTCTTCTCTCCCCCTTCCCTTCAACTCGATCGATTCAAGTAGAAGTTCGTTGAGTGCGAAGGAGAAGGAAAGGCGCGAACGTGTTCAGCTCCTGCTCTAACCTTGTACACTCTATGATCCGGAGGTATATCGACTATCTAAGACTATCTAAGCCCGTCTCTTCGAAACTCGTCTCACCCCTGTACGGTTCATCTTTGTATCTCTTTCGTCGAGTATTCGCATCTCCTCGAAGTCACCCCCTTTGAGGTTCTCCACTCAAAGCAGATATTAGTATCTCGCCTATCGAGAACGAACTTTGGCTGAAACTCCTGAGTCAGGTTGACTGCGGTCGAAACTGATGGCACCTTCAGAGTCACTCAGTTCAACGAAACCATAGTACACTAATTATTAGCGCGAAGAAAGACAATGTATCTATGTATAACAACGTACCAAGTGTAGGCGTTTGTACGGGTTTTTGATTGAGCCTATTCAAGAGAAGCGTTTCAAGGGGCAGTGCATCTTCCACTAGTGTTCTACTGCACATTTAGCAATCAGCGACTTTGGGAAATCGCCTTAACTTCGCTTTCACCGGGCTTCACAATAAACGCTTCAAGCAGCGTTAATACACTTTGTAGTCCTGTACAGTTGATGACTCAGAAAATTCAGTCCAGACCAGACCATCAAGTCAGAAAACCAGCAGTATACCCCGTTGAGCGACAAAACCTAGACTGGTCGATCCTCAAAGGTCTAGACAAGTCCTCCGATCAATAATTTCCATACTCCCAAATACATGTCAATATTTGGTCCATATCAGCGGGCTCCACAGAGCTCTCTCCACTTTCCTCCATACTCATCTTCCTTGATTTTTACCTCCAAGTTACTCCTTCCCCCTTCACGCCCAAATTGAATCTCATCTTCTGTAATCTCCGGGTTTGCACAGACGAGAACAAAACAAACAGTCTTGAATCTAGGAACCCTCATATATTGTATCCTGGATGCTATGGTGCAATATGTTGGCCACCGCTACTTTCCAGCACAGCACACAAAGTCCGCCCGCTCAGTTGTAAGTTGATAATTAAAATATACGCAACGCTGATCATCCGGATAGATCTCTCATGTTATTAGGAAACCCCCTGTTGCACAATGTTCTTCTACGCGTAACCCCGGATTGCCGACTTCCTTATGCTTTGCCGCCCAATCTGAGGATGTGGCCTAGTACGGGGCTTGATGTCCGCGTCCGCGTAGATCTACGGCGCTGATTCACTGCATCCCCGCTTCTTGCGTCATGATTTGACATCAAAAATAACTGACTCACTTCGAATACAAGGAAGACAATCCTGACTGTTTCAACTAGAAGTTCGCGTCGTGATAGTAACCTAGACTTCTGAGTCATTCGTTTATACGCACTTTGTCTTAATTTAATGCCTCTACCTATTTTCCATAATTCACCTGTATAGTGAACAATTCCACTTCGTGAAGAAACGAGCGCGAAGGGGGTTAGCAAAGAATAATGCTTGGAGGTAACAGTAACGCTGCACCACAAGTTGACACGTATCACAAAGTAGTTGCAACCAAGACAAGGGAAGGAAATAAGCATACATGGAGGAAAGTGGAGAAAATCGGACGGCTCCACTCTGCTCACTGGAGCCACCAACATTGTTACTCTATTTGTTAACATCCAAATATTTATCAACATTTACTAAACGAGGAAATGGAGGTTGCAGAGAGTCCAGATAGCAGCATCGACCGATTGACGATTGACACACAGCCTAGGCTTCAGAACGACTAAAGGCTAAGTAAACTAATTGCTGAACTGGAGTGCACTGGACTCGGGCGGCTTTGTTCTTGCTCGTTTTGCCCCCGTGGGGAACATAGTGACTATTGCACTCCGAGTCCACTACGATTGCCGAGTCAGTAGTACTTGACCACTTTTGTATATGATTATTGCTGATTCTCGTCCTTGCACTCAGAGCAAAAATTCGTGGATTCCGGATTTATTTATGTACTATGTTGGTTAGTGGATTACCCTCGAGTTCCTATTCAAGTTGTGCCACATCTCTCCATTAGCCAAAACAAGTATTGTTCATTTCTTATTCTAGGGTTTTCCAAACTTGTGTATTAGGGAAGTTCCCTGTAGTTAACAACATCATGTTCCAAATGTGTATACAAGTAGATTGGCATTCAACACTAATACTAATATTCCTTGTCTCCTATCACTGTATCACTGTATCAGTTACTTAATTAAAGTAAAGATAGTTCCCCTGTTTCACAGTTTTTGCTGTAATGTAATGACAGAGCTAATACCCAAATCTAATAATGCACCTGTCTGAATTAGGGCAGGGAGTTCTAATTCGTTCTATTATCACCTTTGTATATACATTATCAAAAATCATTAGATCAGAAAGTTTCTTAATGATAATACTGCTGCTTAAAGTCTGAGTCATCATCACAATCCAACCCAAAAGCCAAAGTCAAAGAAAAGATGTATTGAATCCTCTATTATGCAAACCAGAAACAAGTACATAAGTGCATAAGTGTATATATGTTACACGTCATCACCTTTTCCTTGCTCTCTAAATTACTTAACAAATATTTGTAACCACCGAGACTTGAAGCGAACCGCGAGCCAAAGACCAGAGAAAAGAGAGGCAAGGAAAAGGAGACTTTTAGGTACACGAACACAGAGAGCAAATAACAAATTATAGAGACTACGAGACGGGACGAAAAACGTGAAGAAAAAAAGACGGAGAGGAGGAAACGCGAGAGAAGAGAGAAGAGAAAAGAAAAACGAGACACGCATATGTACAAGAAAGCAAAGTCAAAAAAAAATCTCAAAAAGAAATTTAACGTCTGTCTGTCCATGAATATGGATGTATGAGGAGGGAGGATATGGGGTTGAACGGGGAATATTAAAACCACAGAAGTTTTGGTTTGGCAATTGGAACGAAATTGCGTCAAGCACATACATGAACGTTGGGAACGATTGGACTTGAATAATGAATTGAAATTGGATTGCATTCGATTCGATTCATTGTGCTGACAGGACAGAAAGAAAAATATGCAAAGAATGAGTGGACAAATATAAAAAAGTAGAGCAACAGAGGAATTGCCAAAAAAGCAAAGAGAAAAAAAAGGAGAATAATAATGAGGGACGTGGAGAGGAACAAAAAAAACAACCTCGATGTACAGGAAAAGTAGAACACAAGGGAAGAATATTAAACGTTGCGATAAAATACCGCGTAGATATAAAAACACAGAAAGTGAAAACCACCAAAGTTAAAACCATTTACCTCGCCCTTCCAAAACAGCAAGTTAAATTCCAAATGTATGAGGATGAACGGACGGGAATGCGTAAGAGAGGGGGTAGCAGAGGTAGCGCGTCTGCGTCTGGCCGGGGGTAGAGGAAGAACAGGGGAGACGAAGAGAGAGAAGAAAAAACCACATAAAACGCATATCAAACAAATCGTCATATCATAACATGAAAAAGAAAACTTTGTCCATTTTTTGAATTCTTTCCCTTTTTTCGTTTCTTCTCTCTGTCTCGTACCTCGTACCTTCCTCCTTTTCCCACTGCTATCACGTGCGACGCAGGTGCAGTTAGAACAGTACCAACTAGCACAGTAGCCGCTCCACCCGCTCGTCCTCGGCGAATAATAAGAATGGTGAAAGTAAACAATGGGGTGATGATACAGTGGCCAAACAGCCAGTCTAAGGGGGATATTGAATTTGTTGTGTGGATGCAAATAACGTGCTGTGGAAAGCAGTGAAGAAGAGAAGAGCCGAGGTCGGTCGCGAGCACCAACAAGTCGGCCCAAATAAAAACTCGACCAAGGCAAGCACGGAAGAGCGGAATCACCAAGCGCACGGGACAGTGTACGTCTTCAAAGTCCTTCCTTCCCTCTCTCTCCGTCCACCTTCCCTAATCTCCCTCAAATCCTTCCTCGCAGCAACGGAAGCAGACGCGCGAGACGGAACAGCAACCGAAGTCGACGCCGGGCGTGTGACAGAAGAAATAGGGTGAACGGTAGTGTAATACGCAACACCACCACGCTTCTCATCTTCCAAATCCATCACCGCATCACCATCCTCTTCCATGCCGTTAATACCAGAGGCATTGAACGGAGCACCAACACCAAAGTGATGCGAAGAGGCAGTGACACTCGAAATAACAGCTTCACGTTCCCGCTTCGTGGATACCGGGATGGCAACGGGCGGAGCGCTGGACCTTCCAACGTGTTCACGAACAGGCTCTCGAGACGGGTAAACGAATCCCGGAACAGAGTGGCTCTTTCCCATCTTCGGGCCGTAAGTGGAGTAGCCGTGCGACACACGGGGCTGTGCCGAATTCGGCGGCGTAGGGAGAGTCGCGCTGTCCTCACTGCTGGTCGGGCTCGGGCTACCACTGCCGTGCGGGTACTGATCATCCTCGAGTTCAGAATCATCGGAGTCAGGATCGACGGGAGACGTGCTTGAGCTCGAGCAAGCTGAAGTAGGAAGGTGTGGACGAGGCGAAACCGGTGGGCTGGGATACGACGATGCATGGCCGACCTTGGGTGGTAAGGCCGTAGTAATCGGCGGGAGAACCGGGCGAGACACAGGAACCGGAACAGCTGCAGCGCCAACATCGGTAGGCGTTGGCAACTGGTGCGGCGGACTCGGCGGCGGTAGGGGGATGGCGAGCGTAAGGGAGCTAGGCTCGTCGATTGCTGTCTCCTCTTGTGCTTGCGCACCACCAACACCTGCAGTAAGGCGCATTTCCACGCCTCGTCCAAATCCATCCCTACCATTCCCATCTCGCCCACTGGAACTACCATATATCCTCCTTACCTCTCGTTCGAATTTCGCAAGGTCCTCTCCTGGGACGTTCAGACTCCACTCCAGATAGCCTAGCATTTCCCGTTCCATCTGGTTGATCTCACGGAGAGCGAACATGCCTTGGCCGACAACGGCCCACGACTTGTTGCTGTACGTGTCGTCACAGACGACCTTGGAGGCGAGCATGTAGGCTGCAAGGAAGAGGCGATGTCCTGAACTGCCGCGAGCGGCAGGGAATCGAGACTTCAGCCTGTGAAGCAGCGCGAGGGCTGTGAAAACAACAGAGGGGTGCAACCGTGTGCGGTGAAGGGCATAAGCGACGAAGTGAGCTAAGGTATTAGGTATGGCAGGGGCGTTGGGTTGTGCAGGCTGTGATCCTGCTGCGCTGCCAGAACGTGCAGAAGGCGAGCTAGATGTTGGCAGAGGTGGAAGGATCTCAGGGCAATTAAACGTATGGCTAACGAATCGTGCACAGAGCTTGCTGGTGTCTTCGTGTCCGTAGAAAGTGTCTATACAGGGTGGAGGTTGTGGAGGGGCAGGGTGATGGGCAGGGTGATGTGCTCGAGTGACAGCTGTCGACGACTGGAGTGTGTTCCCATGTGTATGCCAAATTTAGGTAATAAGGGAAAAGGGAAAGGGGAGAGGAAAAAACCTCATGGTCAACAAACGAAGCCAAACTCATCCAGTTTCCAACTTTTCACTCACAGAATTCGAGGTGGATGCTGCTGCCGCAGCCGATGCAGAGGATGATTTGGCCGGGGGTTGAGGGGGATATGTTGCGCGGTGTACTCGTCGGAAGGGAGAGTGGGTGGAGCCAGTACTACTGGTCGATATTGATAACTGGTGCGGATGCGATGGATGGCGCGGGACATGTACTGCGGCCATGCTCTAGGGTGACGGCGCTGTGGCTCGTTGATGAGCGCTGGAGAGGGCGTCGAAGCAGAGAGAAAAGAAGCGTGAGAACACTCGCTGATCGCTAGCGCGTCGTATCAGGCGTCGCCGGGGTCAGTTGGTCAGTCAGCGTTGGTGAGCTGGCGGTGCGTCGTACGTCGTGGGTGGTCGTCGACTTGCCACTGGCCAAATGGGCAGTATTAGTAGGACTGGACTGACAGGACGGAACGGATCCTCGAGGGGGACGGCGAGCACAGACAGACGGGGGAGCGATCTTGCGGTGGGTGGGGGGGATAGGGCATGGGTCCCTCCTATATTAATATCATCTTCGCCTAAGAACTGTTTGCACACCAATCTACCGTCCCCACCTGGTTGCACAGCACAAACCCACGCCCGCGCTTCTCAACATCAGGATCACAATCAGAATCGCCCATAATCACGGCGTGTATACCCGAGAATAGCAACCTTGGACTCTTGCCGAATTAGGAATCAGAATTTTTTCTGAATCGCATTTGGATACCACCACCGCCACCACATTTCACCTTCTTTTTTTCCATCAGACACGAGATCCACGATAGGAATAGCCGGACACGTGCACCCCATAGAAGGCATCGTTGCCTCCTCTCCTTCGCCCTTGATGCATTCACACACCATCACCCGCTGTTTCAATCGAAGAGAAAGAGATAAAAGGCAAAAGAGGGGGGCATGCGGCTACTTTCGTTCGCTCGCCATGCGAAGAATAAGCAAACCCCATCAATTCAACTTATTACTTCAGGTGATCGTCCTACTCCATCAGTGTTATCGTCGCTCTCTCCCGTCTTGAAAGGCGGCTGTCGCGTCATGTCCACACCCACACCTCCTGTCTCGCATCTGGCCCTGCTTGCCTCTCCTCAAATGGGTCGATTGCCTTATTGTGCTTCAAAACCATCCGTGGCCATGATATACAACACAGCATAGTATCAATCTCTCTCGTGCTTGCGTCCGCAGAATAAAATCCGCAGCATACACGTATACGTGCGCGCAATAAAGTCGAGGCGAATTCCATAATAATAAAATTTGGTTGACTCGACGGTTCAACGAAACTCCGCTCTACCCCACACTCAACAACAAACCATCTGAACATTCTAAGAATCTAACTCGTAGGATTGTCAATGAAAACATTAAACAAAACAGAACAGAACAGCAACGATTTCGGCCGAATTCTTACACATTACGACACACTTCGTCTGTCTGAAGGACTTTCCCAATTACGAGAAGCAGCCTATGCCATCAAAACCAACCACCTCGTGCTCATTGCTAACACCAGTAAAACTAGCCGACTAACCTCTTTCGTCATCGTGCCCAATCCGACAGACAGATGAAAGATGAGCCACAGAGATATAGAGATATACGATACAATCGCACATGCATATGAAAGCAAGCTAAGCGAGCCACGGAAGCAAAAAAACCCGGCGAAAATCCCTGATGAAAGGCCCATAGAGTACTTACTTAGGGCCTCGTGTCCTTCAGATTTCAAGGTGCAAGGTACGAGCCACAAAAAACCCTTAGCGAAAAACCCTTACGACGCCTTAGAATAATTAATCTTATAATCGATGGTGTTATTGCTATTATTAGGGAGTATAGTGCGAGCCACACATGTCTCGATCTCAAGCCACTGGATTTCCTTTCCTGTTTTTTTTTTGCATGCACGCTGACTCTTGCCCACAGGTATTGTACGAAAATCCCATTCAAGGATCCAGGAGTACTTAGTTACGCGATTACACGCTTACGTCCACTGGGAGGCCCGTAGGCCCAGAACCTCTTCAAAATCAAATCTCAATGCTTTGCGTGGGTTTCTCAAGCTTGATACGCTATGCCTCTGCCAAGAAGCGGCTCGGAAGAACCGCTTCGGTGGCCTGTGCAATATGCGCAGGCTTTAGGAGGCGTTGCGTTGCACTCCTTTCCTGCTTCTTTCTGTTGTGTGCTTTGTATGTGCTTGTAGGTGGTATGCCGTTATGCCTGTGAGGACTGCGGGTACGCGTAAGCGTTTCTTCGTGCTTGGATCTGTGCTTGTGTGGCCTGTACAGTGTGCATTGGATCCTCGGTGTTGGTTGTTGCTGGAGGTACTGATCATGTTTATGTTCGCCGAGAAGCAGGTCGTTTATTATCAATACTGCTACAACGAGTCAAAGCTGGATGCTTGTGGTTTGTCTTGGGCTTTGCGTATGTGTATTGCTTACTTGTCTAGGGACAAAAAATCGAATCCACAACGGTATATGCATATCTAGGAATTAGTGTCGGTGCCAGGACTTACTCATCTTGCGAGTAAGACATAATCGCATTCAAGCCTCCTAAACACGTTGTACCTTTCATGGATGCTATCCGTGTTAACTGTATCTAGGATATCTGTGTCTCCTATTACTAGTGCTTGTGTATCTTGGCATTCACATTTATTTCAATGATGGGATGCTTGATCGAACAACATATCCGTGTAGGATACTGTATGCATTATTATACAATGCTGGTACTGGAACGCACAACGTTACATCTATCTCGCATTCTTACCTATTTCCCTAATCTCTGAAATGCCAAATGAAACAAATAGTTTTACATTGCTTCCGAATTGAGCCTCCAAATTTCGAAAGCATACCACCAGCAGATTTTGAAAGTTAAATCAAGTGCGAACTACCGCCTGAAATTCCGCGCATTCCGCAGTACACACAATATGTATATGCATATGCACACAGGTACGCTTCTACGCAGTAGTGAAACACCGACGCAGAGCAACTGAGACCGGGACCGAGACCAAGGACCAGGCCGGCGGCATCTCACAATCTCACTGACACTGACAATCGTGGTCTTACAATCTACATAAACGTCGGTTTCATCGTTAGGAGCGCCTCGGAGCCGGCCTTAATTTATTACTGTACAGCAAATAATATGATATGATATATTCATCCATGTGCATGTGCCCAGCTCCAGGACCTGGAATAGTAGAAAACACCGTTCCGGAGCGGGGCGCGGGACATAGTGTTATTTCAATTATTATTGACAGAGGCGATGCTTTTGGAGTTCAGGAATTTAGGTACACCGTACTCTTGGCGCTGTCCTCGGCCTCCTTATACCGTCGTGATGTATCATCAAAATCATCATTTGCATCACTACTAACCGGCGAAGACTAGGATACTTGGATACTAGGCCTAGGGATGCGGGGCACTATGCGATGAACAGCGTTCGCTAGGCGCTCGAATCACCGACACTGCGCATGCATAACCGTGCGCCCAGCATCCTCAAGCGAGGCGAGCGGATTGTAACCTACGGGAATTCGGGATGATGGTTGATGATTAAGGCCGGCCCGTGGTAACCGGGCCTCGCACTATGTTGAAGCCGAGTCTAGGTTGATGTTGGTAAGCCGATCAACGGCGCGTCGCGCTCCGTGCAGTTTTCTAGCTTTTTCTCCCTTCGTTAACTTCACCCGGTTCCCGATCCTATACGACTCACGCAGAGGAGATCGAGAGAGATGCGGACTCAGCCCGACGGACGCGCAAATGCGCATGTCGGCGTCGGCGTCGGCGTCGGGAAGGTGATGGTGCTGATGCCCTTGATATGAGTGATGTGAATCCATGATGGGTGTGATGGGAAGGAGTCGGTGACACAACTCTATCTGGGTCCCTAGTCTGGAATTTTCGGCGCCTTACATACATAGGATCTAGACGGGAACGGAGCGACGGTTGGACGTCGGATTGATCGGAGTCTATTTTTTGAACGTCTTTCCGTACGGTATCTGTTCCTATGCTGTGCATCGTTTCTCCCTTGCACTATCAAATCTATGCTATGTTGCCTGGAATCTGGACAACAGAATCTGGCATGTGCTGGAGCAGGCTCGGCCTGCGTTCTTTCGGAAGCAAATTCAAGGGGCGGCACCGACATGTTGCAGGAATGCCGTGATAGCACATTGCACATTGCTCATGCACATGCCAAGGCGGACGAAGCCGGGAATCCGTTGGAGTACTCCTCTCGCTCACTCTTGCATCAAGTTGCTTGTGAAGTGAATTCCTCAGATAGTCAACTGTATTATCAATGTATGTCCTATTCATGTCTCTTCTCGGATTCTATTGAATTTGCTTTGCGTTTTTGGATACTCTCTGGAAAACTAATCACCCGGTCCTCTCTCGGTCCTCTATCTATCCACTAGAGAGTTCATAACCTTCGAGGATCAAATCTCTGGGCATCTACGGAAAGTATCGCGGATTTAGAAGATCGACCGCTCCTTCCAAGCTTTCGTTACTGGTATCGGAACGAAGAGGTATACAGCAGGTCAGGCTGAACGGACCGACTCGGATCTCGCCCGTTCAGGATGTTTAATAGTGATAGCGCTTCTACAATGCCCACTACATGCTTTGATCGTGACAGGGACGAGTATGCAGAAACAGGAATGCAAGGCGGATCTACGTGGCGATTGAAGTTCCCAAGTCTGTGAAGTCGTGTGAGCCGACTCGCTTCGTGTCCCTTCCGTCGTAATTCGCTATTGCAAAATATGTCAACAATTTTCTCTGAAAATATTGTCCCTCCGTCGCAACGCGCAGGAAGATTTATTTCTTCACCCAAATGTAAAATGAAAATCACGAAACGTTGCATAGGAAGCACTCGGAACATTACACACTTCGAGGGAAAAATTGAATGAATGGAAGGGATATAGAGCGCGGATGTGATGGATACTCAGTCAAGGTGAGTGTGATACTAGTACAGCATGCCTTCCCGCTCGACCCGACTCATTCATTGTGAAAGCGTTTCTCCTCGGCACCGACGAAGGCCATTTGCCGACTTGCGCGGAGATCAAAAACCGTATAGACTTTGAGCTTCTTTGCCTTCGATATCCATTCCAGCGTCTATTAGAATCTCTTGCAGTAATACCTATACGAATTCTCGGCCTTGTAATGTATGACTACGTTGGTCTTGCATTGCATTACGTCTGTGTATACGTCCGTGTATGTGTATAGCTTGTCATAGTTGGAGTTGGCTTGGAGTATTCGGTGAGCTGTTGATGGATATGACACTGTAGCCACTACTAACCTTATTTCTCACGTTTGACGGGAAGGCACATACATGTTGCGTGTGGCGTATGGTGAGACGCTCGATTCTACCTACTACAAGCCGGCCGAGAGGAACGCTTATGATGCGTCTGGCGTTGGTTGCAAGGATGGAGGAACGAAAGGTCGTGAACATACAGTTCCGTTTCCGATTCCGCCATTGATAGCATCATCTCAGTACCTCAACTCGTGCAACAGTTTCTTCTGTGCCTCTCGGACAATACTGGATAATCTAAAGGATTGATTCAAAGTGAGGAAAGCGCATGCAAGGGAGCAACGTTTCATATGCATCAAATCGACTTCTTGCTGTCTGCTGGGGAGCCTTGGATCAATGCAAAGACTGTTCTGAAGGAACACGAACGGTAGCATTTGCAATTGGGATGCTTCCGCCCTTGCTCGGATCGTTGGGCCTATTGATGCGTCACCAGGGTGCTGCTACTATACACTGCTGCTACTAGGTGATATTTCAATCCATGGTACTGTCCGTAGTCCGAAAGGTAGGTTTCTATGTAGAAATGCTAGGATTCACACTGGAAACGAATGAAATGGTTCCTTGTTTTTCTTCGGAGCGCTGTGGCTCGATGATGCGTTGCAACGGCAATTACTATGTTTGTAAGTTTTTCAATACTAAACTCAAGACGCATGTAGTATTTCTATGGTAGACGTCGGCGAGACTGGGAAACATCTTACTCAGGTTTCTGTTTTTTGAGCGCTCACTTGCTTCATTTCATACGCAACATATCAGACACGTTGAGGACACGATGAATAGCAATGGGTGCTGTAGGTAAAGTGTTTTATGCTTACTGAAGAAATTTTTGTAGAAGCTGTTCTTATGATATGGCGTTCGGTGTTGCGGCACTGTACACATGTTTTCCATGTGCGATTGTCCAGAATATATTTGTAAGATCCGGACGGTCCGCTTTCAATGCATGCTTATGCAACTGGTGATTTCCCCTTTCATATTTCTTCGGGATTTATCATTCAAAATAGAAATTTTGGCTATTGATAATGCTTGAGTTGGTTGTGGTTATACATTTTCAACCAATGAAGCACATGATCTGACGTATCAAACGTTTATCGACTAAGCGAGTAGATAGCTGTATCTGTTTTGTTCCGTCACCTCACCTCACTTCGACTTGTTGGTAAGAACATAGTTAATTTTCTTTTTGAATTGACAATTGATGTGTCGTTCCCACAGAGAATGAGTCAGAAAACACAATTTGAATGCTCTCAGAAGATCTCTGCACCATGGCGTCCCGTGCCTCGTGTGTCAATGCATTGTCAGAATTTCTTATTTAGACAATTGTCAAATTCCATGAGTAGAGTTGACCTCATTCTGTCATTCGTTCTCACTCCGATATTGCAGTTATGCAAGTGTGTTTCGGGCGAGCGCCTCTCCACACGCTCGGGAACCCATTCTGAGTGATACTCACTCACATGCAGGGACACACAAAGATATGATCCGCTCTCGCAGCACGGCCTCGTAGTAGTATCCTCAAAGGAGGAAATTCAGCAATCCTAGAGGCGATGTTCTATGCGCCCCTTCGAGGCGCTTCTCACTGAAACAGAAACGATAGCCTATGTTATACTCGTCCACCGGATCGCCGCACAACCTCTACGTGTATAGATACTTTTATCGCAAACACAAATGAGTTCCGAACTGTTTGATCTATTTGCAGTTTCAATTCTCTCCTATGAAGCCCGATATCTCGCATGCTGCATATTCGGCGCTTCTGTGGGCGTTGCAGCAAAATGACTTCTTGCGCAGTAGATGCACTGGCGTCCGCAGAGATACCTCCCACTTAACCTCGCCTCCTATACTAGCTCGCCCTTGGCACCCGGACAATCCTTACACTGCAAATAGGACAGTGGGGATATACATGTCATACCATCCGACGATAGACAAGCTGTGCCTCACTGACTGCGGATTGTGAGTAACACTTGCCTGTAAACCGTAAATTGCTAATTATATGCTCGAGGCAGTGTTATTCAATATGAGCAAGATGATGTTGCTTCTGAAGTTTGCTTCCGAGTATCCGCTCCCAGGATGTATAATGCATTGGAGCACCGCTCAAGGTCCGATCTGCGAGGGGTTTATCTTAAACTCATCCCCTCGCATGGACTCGGATATGCACGTGATGGTTTTGCTATTGATCTCTTCATACTTGGACTTGGTTCTCTGGTTTCAAGTTGCATGGGTTTTTCCTGGAATCTCTTGTATCAACAAGTTCCGTTGAATACCTAGGCACCCATAGGAAGAGCCAGCATTGTCTTGTCTTAGATAAGTGTCTTCGAAATTGAGGCAAGAGACAGGGAATCATAAAACTCGATACAAGTGATCTAGACGGAAGCTGCTGTAACAACATCCTCATGGAGCAGTCACCCAAGTGTGAAACACTCATAGCGTCAGTTTTCCTCAATGCTGGACACCGTTGATCTTCACTCTTATTGGATGCACGACTCTGCTTCTTGCTACGTCAAGGAACCCCCATGCTGAGAGCGTGGATGCTGCACTATTCATCTGCTTCCGACATCACCGTCACGCCAAATCGGTCCGATTATCCTCAGATGAGACAACATTATCGCTCACTTTCGCATTGCAAGCGCACGGGAGAAGCGTGAAAGTCCGATACCTTTTGTACGTATCTGACCTCACTAAATCCATGCTCGTAGCGTTGGTATCCGTCGGCTTCACGAATTTTAATTCTTGTATCCAACCGCCCTATGACGATGACTCTATGCTTATCTTTATAATTTGATTCCGTTAATACTAACAATGCACGGGCGCTTATTCGAAGCGTGACTGAATTGATACCGATCCTGTTTGGATTTTGACTTTTTTGAGGTTTAATTATTTTTGAGAAAAAAAATTCTTGTTTTACTGAGACACGTACAACAGGCAAGAGGATGACACTACTTCTGAGCGCTTCGTCTGGTTTGCCATTGCTTGGAATATCCATGAAGAAGTGGCGTTGTGTTACTCTCAACTGAACAGTTCATCATCTGTGCTCCGTTAGTGCTACCCTTGATTGCACAACCATCAACACTAACCCAGCTCTTCGCGATGCAACGCAGATCACGCGTTGCCGATGTCGATACGCATGTCTTATACACGTCTTCGTACCCATGTCCTCCATCAGCTTTCGAAGCGAATCACGGTGTTCGCTGGTGGAAGATATTCGCGAGGATAACGACAACGAACAGTCCGGAGTTGACCGAAATAGGTTTACATAGGATGTAAACGGCTGTACGTCCCCGCGGAGGTTGAGCTATTTGTCCTCACGCGTTGTTTACACGTTGCTGCCCCAGAGACGTTGTCTTCCATCTTGGGCGCTGATTTCTTCTGATAATTGATATCATTCTGCAAGCTCAGAAACTGACGTATATCCATTGAATACATCACGAAAAAGTCGCAACAAATGTATTTAATAATAGCAAAAGTAATCTAATAAAATGATTTCATAAGCATTACATTCTAAAATAATACT